ACAGCGCCACCTGTCTCAGCTGTCGGGAACTACACAGAACATCAGTTCTGTGTTGGAGGGCAGGTTCCATAAAGAGAACCTGTCACCTCCAAACTATCACTTAGAGGATTTTAAATCCCCATGTGATGGGAATAAAATTAGGTGGGGGGTAAAACATTTAAAAAAAAGTTATAAAAAAAGTAAAAAATAATTAATTATTTAAAAAAAAAGTGACAATACCTTACCCTCCGCCGGTACAGGTGTACTGTCCTTACCCCGTACTGTGCATCGCAGTCTATGCATTTTGAATGTCGCTTGCAAATTGCAAGCACTCATTGGTCAGCGTGGTTTGGGGACCACGCTGACCAATGAGAAGCGCTATTTAGCACAGACCAATACAGTTTTGATTAGGGATATCAGGAAGCCGGGTAGCATCTCATTACCCGCTGCCCGGCTTCCTGATTGCCCTGGTAGCCTACTCCATGCAAACGGAAGCACCGATACTCGGTGAGTACCGAAAGCAAAATATCGGTACTCGTACTCTATACCCAAACAGCGGTATTGGTGCATCCCTAGTTTTAATTAAAACGATTTTTTTTTTTGTATCAGGACAAGTAGATTGTTATGAAGGACAAGTAGATTTGGCCCCGCTTTAGCCCTTGGACAAGTAGTTTTTTCAAAAATTTCCACACCCCTGGTATATCAACCACTTGCTGCCTGCCTGTCGTACATAAACGGCCGACCGTGAGCTTCCTAGATGCAGGTGGGCCTTTTAGGGTTGAATCAATTTTTATTAGACGTTTCAGGAGATTCATACAATCCGGTATAAAAGCAGCATATGAAAATTAAGGCAATGCAATACACAGGGGAGTACCTTTCCCCAGCAACGGGCCCAGCTGAACAGAGTTATAACAGCAATATAGTAGCTCACATGAAATCAAAGCAAAACGTGTGTGTCCAAGGTCCAGGTGAGGCGCCACTAGAAACCTATTGCTGAGCAAGAGTCGATATTGTTGGACCAGATACATGAAAATGCTATTGAACTAAGCGCCTTCTGCTAAGTAGGGGAGCAAAGAGAGCCAGGCCCGCCGTTTCAGTACTAGAAATCTCCTGTGAACCAATTGCATGAATCACTAGGAATCTTACAAGTAACTACTAGAGGACAGAGTTAGGTAGAAGATCAGGAAAAGAATGAGTAGAGTAGAAGGGGAAGGTCAAGAAAGGGGGGAAGGGGTGGATGCGAAGGGCTGGGCGCAGATCCCCATCTAAGAGGCCAATGAACCAAAACCAGTTCTGCAAGGCGTCTAAGGTGGAGTAGCGCAGAGGAAGGGCTGGAGATTGGTGGAGGAGGAGAAATGGATCCACACACTCCACTGTGTCATAAATTTGGAGAAGGTATCCGTATCATTTGCTAACATCTCCTCCATACGCATTATGTCATTCACATGGCTTACCCACATTGATATGGTAGGTGAGACTGTACTTTTCCAGTAGAGGGGGATAACTTGACGGGCTGCAGAAAGAAAGTGTCGTAGTAGCGTATTTTTCTGGGATTTCCAGGAACCAGGTAAAAGCGACAGTAGGGCCACCTCAGGTGAAGGCGGCAGTGTATCTCCATATAAATGGTTGAAAATCTCAAAAACTGTCTGCCAGAACGGAAACATTTTAGAGCAAGTCCACCATATGTGTAAGTACGTGCCACTCACCTCATTACATCTCCAGCAGGCGTCTGGGGAATTAGGGTATATCCCAGTTTTGAGAGCACGAATAGCACCATCAAATGAAAATGATAGAGCACCTGGCTCCGTTTCTGTGGAGTGTTAAAGCCTCGCACGTTGAGCGTGGCAAAAGTGACATGAGGATTAGCCATTACGGGGGTTTGTGGTGGTGGAGTGTAGGGCTGCAGCCAACCCCCCGCATCAGGGGTAGAGGGAGTGTGGAGGGGATAGAAGAAGAAAGGATAGAGCTGAGCAAAAGTGAGTGAGTAAGTAACAGTGACAGAAAGAAACATGGTCTCTCACCCCACCTAGTGGCGTCCGACGAGAGTAGCCTCCAAATAAACCACAACATATACCAAAAAGCTCCATAAACTATCAATGGGTCCGTGAATGCTCTCACAGACAACCTAAGGGGGGGTGACATGGAAGGCACAGGGAGCGTCCCCCGCTCCAGGGCGTATAATATTGACGGCAATTGGACAGCAAGGGGTGATATAACAGCTAGGTGTAGGAAATATTAACTCTTTAGCTTTAACTGTAGAACTGGTTTAGAAATGCAATAATAACCGAAAAAACATTTCCACAACAATAAAGAACTGTAGCACCAGTGGTCGGCAACTAAACCACTTGGCACAATCCCGGTAAGGCATCGGGCAGAGGTAGGCAACAGGCTGAAGGTCTTCTTCAGGAAGCAAAGGCACAGTCAATGGGTCCTGAGGAATGGTCTGGGTTGGGCGAAGTGTCCGCAATCAGGTGTGGGGGGAGGCGGATGTCTCTGCGCGCCCCTTAGGTCCTCTCGACTTCTGAGACCAGGATGATTGGGCGACAAATCCAGGCATGGTTGGCTTGAGTGGCCAATCTGGCAATGCGACGAGGGGGAGCTCCAGCTTGCCCAGGAAGGTCGGGAGGTCACCCATGGAACGGAAGATGGCCATCCTGTTGAACTATAAGTTGAAAGGGGAAACCCCATCGGTACTTGATATTGCGTTGGCGTAGCAGGTCAAGTAGTGGTCGCAGAGCTCTGCGGAGGGCGAGCGTGTGGCTCGAGAGGTCTGGCAGTAGGGATATCGGACTGTCGTTGAATAGGATGGCCCCCTGATGTCATCTTTGATCTTGAAAAAATGGATCCTACAGATGATGTCCCTTGGGTTGCAGCGATCCGGGCGTCTAGCCCCCAGTGCCCTGTGGATCCTGTCCAATTCAATGGGAGAGTCTTTGGGCTTGTTCAAAAGCTGGTTAAACAGAGCCACCGCCGCAGGTCTTTGGGCTCTATGGACTCTGGGAGGCCACAGATGCGAATATTATTGCGGCGGTTTCTATTCTCCTGGTCATCTTGTTGATAAATCAGTTGGTGCAATAATAATGTATGTTCCTGCAGGGTAGTGTCATGTAGGCACACTTGGGAGTGCAATTCAGATGAAGATTTTTCAATGTCCTCCAATCTGACACTCAAGTCCTTTTTTAAGGTGGGAAGTTGCTTTTTTTAACATCGGGCAGAGGTAGGCAACAGGCTGAAGGTCTTCTTCAGGAAGCAAAGGCACAGTCAATGGGTCCTGAGGAATGGTCTGGGTTGGGCGAAGTGTCCGCAATCAGGTGTGGGGGGAGGCGGATGTCTCTGCGCGCCCCTTAGGTCCTCTCGACTTCTGAGACCAGGATGATTGGGCGACAAATCCAGGCATGGTTGGCTTGAGTGGCCAATCTGGCAATGCGACGAGGGGGAGCTCCAGCTTGCCCAGGAAGGTCGGGAGGTCACCCATGGAACGGAAGATGGCCATCCTGTTGAACTATAAGTTGAAAGGGGAAACCCCATCGGTACTTGATATTGCGTTGGCGTAGCAGGTCAAGTAGTGGTCGCAGAGCTCTGCGGAGGGCGAGCGTGTGGCTCGAGAGGTCTGGCAGTAGGGATATCGGACTGTCGTTGAATAGGATGGCCCCCTGATGTCATCCTTGATCTTGAAAAAATGGATCCTACAGATGACGTCCCTGGGGTTGGAGCGATCCGGGCGTTTAGCCCCCAGCGCCCTGTGGATCCTGTCCAATTCAATGGGAGAGTCTTTGGGCTTGTTCAAAAGCTGGTTAAACAGAGCCACCGCCGCAGGTCTTTGGGCTCTATGGACTCTGGGAGGCCACAGATGCGAATATTATTGCGGCGGTTTCTATTCTCCTGGTCATCTTGTTGATAAATCAGTTGGTGCAATAATAATGTATGTTCCTGCAGGGTAGTGTCATGTAGGCACACTTGGGAGTGCAATTCAGATGAAGATTTTTCAATGTCCTCCAATCTGACACTCAAGTCCTTTTTTAAGGTGGACAGTTCCTTTTTTGTATGTGTGCTCAAAGCGGGCAAAGCAGGATTCAAAATCCCTCTTAGTGGGCAGGGCTTTGATATAGGCCTCCATGTCCCAACCTTCATGTGAGCTGGCCGATGCATGGGACATGCTCCTGGAGCGCTGTGAGAGCCCCCCTGGGCTAGGGGGGGAGTAGGGAGACCGTGGCCGTTGAGTCTGGCTCACCTGTTACCTATCCTCATCGTCCAGTCCAGCGGGTGAAAGCTCCGGCGGCGCCATCTTGGCTGCACGTGGGGGAGAGTGCACAGAGGCCGCGGGAGCCGATCGCGTGAAAAAACGGGTCAGTTCCCGGGGTGAAGGGCCCTTCTGAGGTTGCCTCTTCCCCTTCTTCCTCCTGTTGCTCATTTGGCTGCCCGAGCGTGTCTGCAAAGCCGTCGGCTGCCGGTATATGTGCCCACACGAGTGGGAGACGATCTGAGGCACGTCTCACCGCTCCATACGCCAAGCCACGCCCCCCCCAGGTGGGCCTTTTAAAACGTCCTTAAGCCCGCTCGGTTAGGCCACTATGTGATAACCATAAAGTTGTGAAAAAACAATTTATTCACACATGAAAAAACCAAACATTTTTTTAAAGTCCCCGTCCCCACATACACAAAAATGTGTCGGGTGCGCCACATGTGAAAACTATTATTGCGCCCATTACGCCTCACATGTTGCATATCGCCGCGAAAGTGTGAGCAATAATTGTAGGGCCATCAATTACTGTTAACACTAAACTGATAAAGTGATAAAAGTTTTTAAAGCCAGTTTTGGGTATGGTAGTTTTTTGCAATTTCTCAGGCGTGCACAATTTTAAGGCTTGACGTGTTTGGTGTCCTATTTACGTGACCCCATCTTTTATATTTTACCAAAAAATTGAGTAATAAATGTTTCATAACATAACTTAGGGAAACGTTTTTTCTTCAAAATTGTCGGTACTTTTTCCATTTTATATAGTAGGGAAAAAAAAACAAAAACAGCGGCGATTAAATAAATATAGGGCTGCATCCAACTAATCGATTTATGAGAATAGTTAACTATTCTCATAATCGATTAGTTGGTTGGATCCCCTAGCTCTCTCCTCCACGCTGAGAGGAGGGCACAGCAAGCAGTGAGCGGGTGCAATAGCCAGCCTGCTATTGCCTGTCGTAATTTGAAATGCCCAATAGCAGGCTGGGTATTGCACCAGCCCACTACCTGCTGTATTTACATTCAGCTGCCATCTGCAGAATCTTGCCACTGGCAGCTGTCGTTCCCTGGCTGAAGCTATTCAAGCGCCATGTGCTTACAATACACTTATTTAAAAAAAGAAAATTATAAAAGGTGGAAAAAAAAAGTAATTTTCAGTTTCCGCCTGACAAATTCTGCTGAGGGAGGTGCGTTGCAGTGCCATTCATTTCAATGGCACCCCAAACGCGACTCCCACCCACAGTGTGATTGCTCGCAATGGAACGCACGTACCAGGCAATGCAAAAAAATTGTGCATGCAGTTTTATTCTAAAGTAAACTTTGTAACACTACATTTGTGTTTTTTTTTTTTTAGAACTATGAGGTGAGTGGAAATCACTCATCTCATAGTTCTCCTTTTTAAGGATGGTATTTAATAATTTTTTTAATCTATGGAAATAATAATCGGCCAACGAATCGATTTATGAAATTAATCCATTAGTTGCAGCCATAAATACCAGCAAAAGAAAGCACTATGTGTCATCAAAAAATGGTATAACATTCATTTCAGTACAGTGTTACATGACTGGATAAATGACTGGATAAATGTCAGTCAAAGTACTGCAGCGCTGAATAATGAAATACTGAAAAATGGCCTGATCAGGACACCCGTGTCTTCAAGTGGTCAAAGAACTTTGAAAAAAACTGTCCCTAAGGCCAAGTTCACATTGAGCGATTCGCAAATCGCGCGTTTGTCGCGCGATTTGCATTTTGCGTGATTTGTCGCGCGATATCGCGCAAATTCTTGCATCAAAAACCATTGAATCGCGGCAAAATGCGCTCCAAACAGGGTCCTGCTGTAGCGACACACGACCTGCGACAGCAGGACCCTTTGCCCCATTGCAAAGCATTGAAGAGCGATTATCGCACTGTAAATAGCCGCGATATCGCGGGAATTACCGCGCGATAAATTGCTCAATGTGAACGGGGCCTTAGTCTGTCCCTTTTATCTGCTCACTGGCATCTATTCAAACCACTTGACGCTGCCTGTATTGTCCTATGTATTAATCCTGCTCCAAAGCAACAGCTAGGACAGTTTTTTTTTTTTCTTCGTATTTTTACATATGCTGTTTTAATGGAAACGCATAACAAACATATTGTGTGTGTTCGTTCTCCAATACAGTATGTCTGCAAAAGTATAGTAGATTAGATGGACAGAAAACTACCATCATAGCCTCCATACTCCTTTTTTTGGTACAGTGCTTCCTGTTATACCCTCTCCTATCCTTTTATGCACATAATATCTGCTCTCATACCCTGTGCACACCACTAGCCACTAGCATAACCTCCACATTCCTATTCTGCTACCCTCATATTCTCAAAACTCCTCCTATTTCATATACTTCCCATCTTCCTACCCTCCACACTTCTCTACTGCATATAGTGGCCACTGTCATAGCAAAAATACTTAAACGACACCCGGGAGTCCTGTCCTTTTACTTTTCTTATTTGTTTATTGAAATGGATTTAGGTCAGGGACTTTTTTTTAAAACTCCTTAAAGGAGAACTATGGGGTCAGTGTTTTTCCCCATAGTTCTCCTTGGGGTAATGGGAGGACACAAACTAGCGTCCTCCCGTTACCCTAAGCTCAGTATACCGCGAGCTACAGCTCGGGGTATACTGAGATGCCGCACCTGGAGCGGATCCCAACTTAGATGACGGGATCCGCCCAGCTGCGTGAGTGACAGCTGGCTCTGCCTATCTAGAGGCAGAGCCAGCTGTACCCTCCCCCGTCCGTTCCGCCAGTCAGCGCTGGCAGATCGGAGCGGGGAGAGGGGAATCCAGCCCCTCACCCTGTCACGGCAGAGAGCCGTGACAGGATCGAGAGGTGAGGGAACCCGGCATGTGTTCTCTCACCTCCCGATCTACTGAGCCGACCTGTGACAGTCTCATTGTCACAGGTCGGCTTAGAACTATGAGGTGAGTGGAAATCACTCATGTCATAGTTCTCCTTTTAATCAGCAAACATTTGGTCTTACAAGATAAAAGACCTTCACAGAAGTCACATTCAAGATCAAAATCTATTTATTTGAAAATATACTTTAATTTGCAATGTACAAAAAATATACATAATATAATCCCTTCACCGCACCTCCAGACTCCTCTGGTTGAAATTGACAACGTTGTGTGCATACCAACACACATTCATACACCGTACCCTCTAGACTTTGTGACCGTATGCCCGGCCCAGACCCGCTGTGACTATACACAAGTCTGAACCGAGCGTGAGCGTCACAAGGACGTGGCAATACCACTCTCAGCCTTCACTATACAGTAGCATTCTTCACAGAGGCGAGGATACTTTAAGTTCGTAGTTAGAGCGTAGAGATAAGCTTAACGATTTTTAAGGTCGTCCTTTTATAAAAGAAACGGTGTAGAAAATGTACAGGAAAAGATTTAATAAAAAGAGACAAAATATATATCAACAGCAAAATAAAAGGAGAATACTCAACAGTCCTGGAATTGTGAGTTCTGACAGAGTTCAGAGTTCAAGAAGCAGTGGAAGTCTGCAGGGCTCTTCTTCCAGCAGATAATGTCCAGAGATTAAAGGGGAACTCTTCTGCGATGTTAAGTCTTCTAGTTCCTCGATGATGTTTTAAAAACCAAGAGCCCACTCTAGTCGCCTAGACAGAATATTTTATACGCTCCTTTTGGAGGGTGTCCCGGAGCCGGCCCTTAGGGCAGGGCTGGGGAGGGAAAGCAGGCGGAGGATAAACCTTTATTTTACTCTATCCCCCTCCAATTCCAAATTAATAAATGTAGCTTGATTTTATACTTAGGTTTATGACTTTTGGGTGAAAGTGCGGTCACCTCTCTAGCAGACCTGCTTGTTTATATAACTTGTCCACTGGTAAATAAGTGCTTGGTGCCATGTCTTTAATTAACAGCCATAAAAGGCTTAGAGAGATATGTTGGAATTTCACTAGGGCTGGGGCAATAAAAGATCACAGCCAGATAGCATCTCTCTTTTCTGTGGGCTTGGCTTTATGACTAGATGAATGCCTGCAGAATTCTATTTTTTAATATTCAGACTCAGACATCTGACTTGTTCCTGGCTATCTGTGCCTGCTGTCTATCCTGATCTCTGGCTTGTTCCTTGTTCTCCAAGTCTGCGGTCAGCTTGGACCTCTGGCTTGCTCCCACCCATCTATGCCACAATCATCCTTGACATCTTGACTGTCCCTGATGATCTCCAACTCATGGCCCGTGGTGCTTGAGTCAGCAGGCAGTGAAGCCCAAACCCCAGTGAGGGGGTCCCTGGTGAACACCTGTTGGCATTTAAACTCTGCGCCCTTGTGTATCCCACATCACCTTCTCTCACGTAGGACCATCCTGTTACTTCAGCGAGTCTGGATTCTATTGTCAGAAAACATCAGTTTTTCACTTACAGTAGAGGAGAAAGGACCTGTTTTCCCCAATCATCTTCCAGGACAGCAGCCTCAGAGATGATTGTCTCTTCTATCTTCAGGAAACACAATCTAAAAGGTTTAAAAACCCCTCCCACCCCTCTCGTCCGGGGGGAAAGAGGGGACAGTTTCACAATACTGAGTTCCCTCAGGCTGACCTAATATCCCCCCTCAGTGTCTCCCTACTGAAGATGGGCTGCTCCATGCAGGAAGGATGCCGCAACCCACGTCAGAAGGGCTTGCAACCCACTTTTGGGTTGTGAACCAGGGGTTTAGAGGGTTCCCCTGGTTGCTATCTGAGTTCTCTGCTCCCTTATGCCATTGGGGGTAGACGCCTAAAGTCCCCCAGTTCTGTACCTGACGCTTGACTTTCTTTTGCGTTTTTTGGCATTGTCATTTCCTCTGGGGAACTTGAGGAGGTGGTGCTTTGTGTCCCAGGCCTCGTTGTGGTGTAGGATTGCAGCAGTTAGAGTGGGGATCCTTTTGCTGCCATAATGGAGCAAAAGGATCCCCGGTTCTGGCTGCACCCAAAACCAAGTGTCTAAGCCAGAGGTCTCAAACTCATTTGACTCGGGGGCCACTCTGCAATTTTTTTTCTCCCATGGGGCTGGCTTACCAATTTTCGTACATCTAAATAAAATTTAATCATATCCAGTATGGTACTACGGACCCCAATACACACACAATAAAGCCCTATTCATATCTGCAAGTTTAGGTGCAATTAGGGATTCCTGCGTCAGGGACTTGCGTTTTTCTGCAGCAGGAATGCCTAATCTGGTGTTTACAAGTGGCAGCTGTCATCTATTCAAGGTAACAATCAGGTGATGGCCGCTGCATGTAAACGCCTGCATACCGCATGTAATTGTATGTATGTAATTGTATGTGATATGATTACATGCTGTTAGAAAACACTCTCCCTGGTTGCACAATTGATGCGTCCAGGGAGAGTGACTGATTCCTAACCAAATGTAATCATATCACATATCTTTACATGCGGTATGCAGGCATTTACATGCAGCTGCTGTCATCTGATTATTAACTTGAATAGGTGACAGCTGTCACTTGTAAATGCCAGGTTAAGCATTCTTGCTGCAGGAAAACGCTCTCTCAGCCACCTGATCAGCCCAGGCTGGTCATTTGGCAACACCTAGCCCCAGGACTGGAGATTTCATCCAACCCAGAGCTCCAGATCCCA